TGGCACGTTATATATCCATTTATATTTACATTCTTTAGCTATACTTGTGATATTTATCACATCTGTATACATTATAAACCCCAAAAGACAATTTTTGCTTTAAGAAATCATGTGTATTTTAAAGACACTAAGAAAAAAAAAGTAGTTTTTATATTTACTCAGGTATTTACCATTTCTGAAGCTCTATTCTTTCCTAAAGATGTGAGTTTGGTCTGGTATAATTTCCCTGATAGCCTACAGAATTTCCTTTGGCATTTCTAGTGGATGGGTCTGCTGTCTAAGAATTTTTTTCCTTTCGTCTGACAGTGGATTTATTTCACCTAATTCTTTTTTAAAAATTTTTTTTTTTCAACGTTTATTTATTTTTGGGACAGAGAGAGACAGAGCATGAACGGGCGAGGGGCAGAGAGAGAGGGAGACACAGAATCGGAAACAGGCTCCAGGCTCTGAGCCATCAGCCCAGAGCCCGACGCGGGGCTCGAACTCACGGACCGCGAGATCGTGACCTGGCTGAAGTCGGACGCTTAACCGACTGCGCCACCCAGGCGCCCCTATTTCACCTAATTCTTGAGGGATGTTTTCACTGGTTATAGAATTCTGGGTTGGCAGTTTTTATCTTTCAGCATTTAGAGTGCACATAAAACAGTGCTTCCACTATTTTGTGGCCTCCATAATTTCAAAGGTGATGTCTGCTATTTTTGAATCTTTGTTTTCTGAAAGTTATGTGTCATTTTTCTCTGGTTGAGTTCACGATTGTTCCATTAGTTTTGGTTTTCAGAAGTTTGCCTGTAGTTTTCTTAGTATTTATGCTGCTTGGAATTTGCTGAGCTTTTCAAACTTGTACATTTGTGTCTTTTTTCACATTTAGGAAATTTTTGGCTGATCAAAAATATTTTTTTCTTCATTCTCTCTTCTTTTGGGTCTATAATTATACATATGTTAGACTTGTGGAGATTGTTTCAGAAGTCCTTTAGGCTCCTGTTTTTCAATTTTAATTCTGTTATTCAGATTGGATAAATGTCCCTTTTTCTGTTCAAGTTCTCTGCCCTTTTCCTCTGCAGTCTACCATTATGTCTATCTGATATTTATTTCACACATTGTATTTTTCTTTTCTGAAATATGCATTTGGTTCTTCATCATACTTTTAATTTTTCTGTTGTGATTTCCTATATTTTTGTTCATAGTGACCTTGTATTTTCCTTAATGTAATAGAATGTAATTATAATAGCTGCTTTAAAATCCTTGCCTGTTAAATATAACATTCAGATTATTGAAAGTGTTGAAGAAAGCATGTAGTGGTATAAGAACTGGGAAGGACTTTTGAAAAAGCCAAGGGAGGAAGCATTGTCAGTAATGTTAAGTAACAGAGAGGTCAGTTAAAATAAAGACCTTTTTGACTTGATAATTAATAAATTACTGGCCACAACAAGAGCACTTTCAAGTGGTGGAATTAGAAGGAAGATTACAGTATGTTGTAATATGAGTGGCAAATGAAATAACATTGGGGAATATAGAGTTTTTTTGTTGTTGTTGGAGAGAGTTTCACTGAGAAAAAGAAATAGAGGAAGAGGCAAGGTAAAATAAGGTTTGTTAAGTATATGGGAAAATAAAAAACAGTATGTGGGTGGAGGTTGAAGCTATAGCTTTATAAGTAGGTAGAAAGGATGGGATTCAGAATGTAGTAAAAAGGACACATCCTCTTCCAATACCCCGACTGGAAAAAGGAATGCAAAATTGTCAAGGCTTTGATACATGAGTATATGGATTTTGGTAATTGTTTATAGAATTTCATCTGTACTTAACAGATCACTTTGTCTCAATTCATTGAGGGAAGTATAGATGCTGAGAGTTGGGAACAGAGGCCCAGGGATTGAGAGTCCATAGGTAGAGGACTGGTACAATGTTTGGAGTAGCTGTGGGCTATGGCAGGGCAGATGGTGATGGCTGTGAGTTGAGGTAAGTGAAAACAGTAGTTTTGTGTTTCCAAATAAGGATGGAAATGGTGAATTTTTGGTACTAACAATCTTAAACTAGGAGAAAAAATTCTTATGGCATTATTTTTACTGTGATGTAGGAAAGAGAATGCACATTTGAGCATTTACTTAATTAGAAAGCTTTGTGGTGGTTAAGTTTAAGGGGTGAGGCTTTGAATCCAAGTGGGGTACGTCTAGACCTGATTTTACCTGAAAATAGCACTACCTTTGATGAGTTAGAAGTTTCAGTGAAAGTGACAGTGAGACTTCCCTAATCTTTCGAAAAGAAAGAAGGATAGGAGTGTTAGGAGTCTGGGGTCTGATAGAGGGAGATTGTAGGTTAAGATTCCAGAGGTAGGACAGTTTGGGGTACGAGAATTGCAAGGGTTGATAAATTAGAGCAAAGGAGAAGGGTTTTGTTGTCAAAAAACTATGCAGCTAGGTATTTGAATCATTGACATCGAAACCTCCTTAGATTATGACAGAATCTAGAGTATAGTAAAAAACTGTATGGCACCTAGTTTTCGTTTAACGTGTGGAATAAACTAGATGATCGTGGATGTTACAATAAGGAGAGTTTTTGGTCTGTTCCATGAAAGTGAAAATGTAATGGTTTGTTAGTAGAGGAGATCTCAGTCTTCTGACTATTCTATGTGATTAATATCGAAAAATCACTTGACTTTAGTAGTAAATCAATTGTGGGGGTCCCTGGGTGGGTCATTCGGTTAAGTGTCTGACTTTGGCTCAGGTCATGATCTCATGGTTTGTGAGTTAGAGTCCTGCTTTGGGCTCTGTGCTGACAGCTCCGAGCCTGCAGCTTGCTTTGGATTCTGTGTCTTCTTCTCTCTCTGCCCCTCCCACACTTGTATTCTGTCTCTCAAAAATAAATAAATGTAAAAAAAAAAATAGTAAATCAGTTGTGTTATTTAAAAGGTTAAATCAAGGGTACATTGTAGATATTTAAACAATGTTTATTTTATAACTCAGTGCTTACTGATGGAGGCAGCTGGCCCAGGGAAATGAAGGGTCAGCAGAGGAATCCCATACTTTTATTTTTTAAATTTTTTTAATGTTTACTTTTGAGAGAGAGAGAGAGTCAGGGCATGAGTGGGGGAGGGGCAGAGAGAGAGGGAGACACAGAATTCGAAGCAGGCTCCAGGCACTGAGTTGTCAGCACAGAGCCCGACGTGGGGCTCGAACTCACAAACCATGAGATCATGACCTGGGCCGAAGTCGGCTGCTTAACTGACTGAGCCATCCAGGTGCCCCATGAATCACATACTTTTTAAAAGGGAATTGAGTTTTACGAATATTTATGAGTTTTTCCTTTTTTTGTAGGCAAAGAAATTTGTCATTCTTTTAAGCATTAGTAATTATGGCAAGGGGTAAGAAGATGAACAGTCACTTATGCAAGTTTATATTTAAACAGATTGTAAGACTTCTGTAAGTTTTACAAAATTCGTTATCTGGACCCAAGATGATGCATGATAGCATGAGTTTGTTGTTTTAAAGAAAAATATGGTTTCTAATCTCCATATTTATTTTGTAGGTAGTTACTAATAGTTATTATAAATAATATTTTACTATAACTTCTCTGTAGCACATTTGTCCCTTTTTGTAATAACTTATAATTTAGAATAACCTAATTTTCAGATGGGTATCAGACTAATGAGTTTTTTCCCAAGATTTTGTGACTTGTCGTCTACATCTTACACTTCCTTTCCTTGTGAAATTGTAAATATATAATTTGTATGTGACAGAACTGTACCACGTATGGCTTTTTCGTTCTTTCATGATGCAAGTTGAACAGGATTTGCTTTGGGCAGAAGTGTGATGTTCTAAAGGCCTGGTCTCACTTTTGCCCCCTCCCCTTATCAGGGCTTCGGGGCTCATTCTGCTCCTAGACTCCTTGATCATCCCTGTGTAGAACACATTTGGTATTATCAATCTCTTGAACTTTATTATGTAATATGTGCTGTATTGAGAATGGATTATTTGTGTTCTCTTTTTAAAATCTCAAAATGTGAAAGGAATGGCATTGTCATTCTATATTAAAAGAATTCCTGGCACTAATGTTTAGGTGTGAAACAGTTGGAGAGGGTCATCAAGTCTCTTGTACCAACAGTCCTATATAAAGGAATGATTCCTGTGGCTCTTTTAGAAATACACTAAATCAGTGAAAGACTGTAAGCTTTGGGTTCAGAAACATCTGGATCACCTAGTCTCTTACTTTTACCCTTACCTGCTCAATGACATTGTACAGATTTCTTCTTTCTGAACTCAAATTTCTGGTCTGTAAAAATGGTAATTTTTCTCCTGGACAGTTAAAGTGAGTCATAAATGAGGTGATATAGGTAAAGTACATATAATTTGTGTGTGGTCTTTCTAAATGTCTACCTTTCTACCTTTCTTATCTTGTCAATCAAAGGAAAAGAATCGTGGAGAAGCTCTAGAAACCTTTAAATAGAGGAAAATGTATACTGTTCCCCCTTCCCCCAATCTCAGTGAGATAAAAGGGATTATTTGGGTGATCTGATCTCCAGAGTCTTGCAGAAGCAGCTCTTCCCTAGTTTTGTATTTTTGTGTAATTCAGAATTTTAAAATAGTATTAGTTCAGTAAAAACATTTGAAAATGGAACTAGGTTTTTGTTTTCACCAATTTTGACTAAATATTTTCTAATTCTAGTCATAAAGATAATAAAGAGGCCTACCATTACTACTCCTACCTCACTTGCAGTTCTGGTATCTACACTTTACTGCTGATTTTAAGATTACAGATGGATTGATAAGGATTCATCTAGTTCATGATAGGAAATGTGATCAAATGCAAGGAAGGTCTTGTAAACTGAGATCTGGAAGTTCCCATAGAGTATAATTAGCAGTATCAGAGGGAGAAACATCTAAGAACCAATTTAGAATGTTTACTAAATCGACGGAGTCCTGTGGATTCTACATTAGCTATACAATAGAATTATATGTAATTTTTTTCTTTCATATCTTAGAAGAAAACTTTTTTATACCTTTCAGAAAAGACAAGGAGAGAAATGACAGCCAAAGGTTCTACAGGAATGGAAGTTCTGCTGTCAACCCTAGAGGTAAATCGCTGATAGGCTTTAATTAATATAACTATTAATACCAACCAGGACTGAAGGAAAAAATGTATATATGAAGTATAAAAGTTTTATTCTAGAGGTAAAGCCAATGAATGGAAGTTAGTTTTATGTTTTAAATGATCACTTGGAACGGTGGCAGAAGCATTCTAATATATATTAGGTAAACCTCTAAGTATATTCCCTGATGATTATCATGTAACCATATTTTAAATTTTAACATGCCATTCCAGTTGGTATTAAGAAGGCATTAGCTGGAAATAAATGATTGATATTGGAAATTCTCATTTATTGTGTTAGGTGATATATATTTGTGATTTAGTTTACTGCATCTATTGGTTGAATAACTATATTATGTTGGTAATAATTAAATTTCTATCCCAGTGTAAAATTTTGGGGTGGAACAGCAGGATATATTCAGAATCAGGATTTTAAATTTTATTCAGTGCGGTGTTAAGAGTGGGGAGTGAATACATTGTATGCTTTAAACTTACACAGTGCTATATGTCAAATTATATCTCAATAGAGCTGGAAAAAAAAAAGAACAGGGAGTAAGTTCATGTTTTTTGGTAGGAATCACTTTCTATTCAAAATGATATGTCATTTTTCCCTAAATTGATTCGTCAGTTTAGAGTAATTTCAATAAAAACATTGACAGTTTTCTTTCTAAAGTCCGATGGGAAAATAAAAAGCAAGAGTAGAAAGGACATTTCTGAAAAAGGAGAGAAATGAGAAAAGACTTGCTGCATCAAATATCAAAGAACACTATAAAATTTTAGTAATTCAGATAGCTTAGAAATTGTGCATGAGTAATAGACATCAGCGTAATAGAAATTCTAGAAATAAATTAAGATCACATGGGAATTTAATATCATCTAAGAAAGGTAAAATTTCAGATCAGTGAGAAGTGGAGGGATTACTTACTAAGTGGAGCTCAGATAGATTGGTAGCCACTTAGAAAAGTGTAGTGGATCCTTACTTCCTACACCAAAGTAAGTTCCATATCCAGCAAAGATTTAAGCTTGGAAAATAAAATCATAATACTAGAGGAAGTAATGGGAGAAATCTTTAAATAATCTTTAAACAGGGAAGGCTTTTTTTCTTATTAAAAAAATTTTTTTTTTAATATTCATTTATTTTTTGAGAGACATAGAGAGACAAAGGTTGAGCGGGGGAGAAGCAGAGAGAGAGGGAGTCACAGAATCTGAAGCAGGCTCCAGGCTCTGAGCTGCCAGCACAGAGCCCAACATGGGGCTTGAACTCTCGAACTGTGAGATCATGACCTGAGCCCAAGTTGGACGCTTAACTGACTGAGCCACCGAGGTGCCCTGGAAGGCTTTTCTAATGTAAAAAAAGACTCAGGAGTTATAAAGGAAAAGATGGATAAATTCAACTCCATTAACAAAAGTATGTAGGAAAAAAACACCCTAGACACTTGGCAAACTGAGGAAAAAACATTCAACTTGTGTAACTTCTTTAACATATTAAGAAGTTTTACAAATGAGTAAGGAAAAATTAAATCAGTAACCTAATAGAAAAATGTGTAGATGTTTTGGACAGTTCCCAGGAAAAGAAACACAAATGGCACTTGAGATTGAACACCATTTGTTTTGTTTGTTTGCTTTATCACAATTTACTGAGGTCAGCAGGGATGGGAGGTGGCGAATTACATATGGGAGACTTGTCTGGGTAAGGCCTAGACATGACAATACAACTTCCATTCAGGTTCCAATGGCCTGAGCTCAGTCGCATGGCCCAAACCTAATTACAGAGGGCTGGAAAATGTGGTTTGTGTACCCAGGAAGAAGATGAAATCAGTTTGCCAAACACGTAATAATATTCTGCCATAGTCCATTCTTCTTTTTAACAGATGTCTGTCTGGCCCTCTCTTCTTTCAGATTCCTCTCTAGTGAGTTGATGGTCCATTTAATATTGCCAATGCTAAGACCAGGGTTTCTGGTTAATGCATAATCCTCTAACTGGTCTAGATGTGGCCTTTTGGTTCCATTAGTCTATAAGCTAAAATGGGGAAGCAGAGACAACACTCATTCCCTTTTGGAAAGGGGAAGAGTAAGAGACTCCTGCCAGTCACTGATACACAGCACTTTTGAAATTCCTCTGTATAAGCAGTGTAACATTCCTCTACTTTGGGGGTGAAGAAATTCTCTAAGTAGGTCATAATTCTGCTTTATCTGTGGTTTTCTTGATCCAAGCATCGCTTTTAATAAGAGAAATGTAACCAAAGGAAAGTATTTAAACATTTTCTCTTCTTAGATTGGTTGTCCAGACTTTGGGAAATACTCTTCCACATTGTTGGTGGGAGTGTAAATTACTCCATGAAGAACAATTTAGTGATATTCATCAAAGTAAATGCTCATATTCTTTGACCCAGAAACTCCAGGAATTCGTCCCATATGGAGATGTACTTGGTTCCGTATAAACATGTACTTAATTTTTTGTTACAGTTTTTTAATAGCAAAAGATTTGAAAAATTAAATACTCCATTAGTAGGTGACTGGTTTCATAAACAATGGCATCACCATATATAATGGATTATATCCTGTAGCCCCTAAAAAAGAGTTAAGAAACCATTTGTTCATACATAAAAATATCAACGTATAGACTAGTATCCATAGGGCAATACCATTTGTAGAAATCTGTGTATACACCTCCATTTACATGGATTTCTTTTATGTGTGCACATTATCTTCGGCTGGATACACAAGCAACTGGTACTGCAGTTGCCTTCTGAGAGGGGAGCTAGGTGACTGGGTAGTCACCATATATACACTGTAGTGCCTTTCACATTTTGATTCATTTATTTGTATTTTCTGTTTGGTAGAAGATGATGAATTCAAATGACAAATGAATTCCTCTTGTAATAATGTTGGTACTAAGAAAATAATAGCTCAGATGACCTGCAAACAGTCTCCTGGGCAAGAAGAAGCTCCTGAAGTGATGAGTGGGAATAGTGGAAGCCCAAATACATTTGTTCTCAGAGAAATTGGAAGGGTCATTTGTAAAAATATATGTAGTTCACAACAGGAACAGAAAAGGTTTGGGAATCACAGATTTACAATGGTTTAATACAGCAAATAAACTATTTATTTCAGAACACGAAAGATCTTCAAACTACACTTAATATCTTAAGCATTCTTGTTGAGCTGGTGTCAGCTGGTAAGTTTTTGTTTCCTTTGGTCTAATTTCTGTTTGTAAACAGTGATCAACAATGTATTATGTGTACTTTATTTGGAATTTTTTGATACTCATATAGAGACAGTTCTGAGTATCAGAATTTGGAAGCTGAAATGTCATACTCTTATTGTTGCTTTGTTTTTGATTTGAGGGATCTTCCAGTATCCCTCAAACCACTCCAAAACCCATTTCCAGAGCCTTGAGTGTAGAATTTTGGCATCACTTTTATTTACTCCTTCTGCTGTTTTTCTAACTAAAATACTAAATGAAATGAAAGAAAATTTGATTTTGAGGTATTTGATTTCAGAAGTCATCACTTGAAGTATTTCTTGAATGCTAACAAGTTGTGATGTTTTTAATATGTTATGGGAGGATTTGCTGTTTAAACAATTAAAAACAATCTTTTTTTTTTTTTTTTTTTTTTTTTTTTTTTTTTTTTTTAGGTGGAGGTCGAAGAGCGAGTTTCTTGGTCGCCAAAGGTGGTTCACAAATATTGTTGCAGTTACTTACGAATGCTAGCAAAGAATCTCCCCAGAATGAGGAGTTAATGGTGCAGATTCATTCTATTCTTGCAAAGATTGGACCAAAAGGTAAGGGTTTCACTTGTGTGTTCATCATAGAACCATTTGTGACACTGATTCTGTGTGCCTTGAAACTTGGTCAGTTTTGAACATCTAAAATGGTATGGCTTTTTCTCAGTCTTAGCTATGGACTACTTTTTACAGTCAACTGCAGTAGCCTGCAAGAATGGGAGATCCTAAATTCACGAGGAATGCCTTTGCATATGTTGGAAAAAAGGAAGAAAAATATGTCAAAATCACAAGTGTGTCTTAGTGTATGTGTGCCTGCATTTGTATGTGTGTAAAGGACACATATAGCATGGATATTGTTGGAGCTGGAAGGAGGGAGTATGGATGGAAATGCTTTGAGGAACATGGAGGTGAAATGTGTTCACTTTTCATTAATAGTCATATTTGTACTGCACGTCTCAGTGCTTAAAAAGCTTATGACCTAGTCAAGATCAAAAGAGATATAAAATATTGTAAGACCGATTATTATAAGAGTTAAGACCTGCAATATGTTAAAAAATAGAAATTGAGAAAACATGGGATTTGAAACAAAGGTGATTTAGGTTAGGTTAACAGAGAAAGGGCATCCTTGGAATAGAACCTAAATTCAGTTTATAGTAGTCTAGCTACACAAATTAAAATGATTCTCTGAACTCTTAGTATAGCAATTTTTTAAGAGTTCTGCCATTGCCTTGTGGTGTACCTATGAGTTTTAAACTTTGAAGCTTTTGGTTAAACTGTTTATTCTAAAAAGTGTTTACATATGTGTATTCAGTGTATTATTATGTATTTCATACATATCCTTACTGTATAAATATTTAATACTTTGAACAATTGTTCCCTCAAAGCATCTCTGAGATGACTTTAATTTTCCAGTTGTCTTAAGGGCCTTAATACTTAAACAAATATTCAGTTAATGTAAGAAATATGTCAACTTTTATTTTTCCTTAACTCTCATATTTGAAGTTTAAGGGCTCCCTGCTGAGATTTTTGCTGTAAATGAGAAATAAAACAAGAAAACCTTATTTCATGATGACTCTTGTTATCTCATGCTTCCTCCTTTTTTAGAGCTTTCCTTTGCTTTTCATGAAATTAAGACATTCATGAATTTATATTTGTATTTCTTTAATGTCTCTTCTAAGTTATGGTTTATTTTATTGTCTTCTGTACTTTTAAATTTGTGGTATCTCCTTTATTATTTGTACTAGTTTTCCATTTTTGTTATTCAAGGAAATTGTGCTGTAATTCTTTGAGTGACTTTCTATACTTTTTGTCCCCACCCCCCTCCCCGGTGAGATGGGAGTAATTTTTCCTCGGGAATGTTTAGTTCTTTTTGATGTAAAATTCCTGTTGTTAATGAAATAACTGCTTGCTGGTCCTGCTTATTTTCTATGTTTGAAATCTTAACATTATTCTTGTTATCCAGATTGTTTCTTAGACTATTTTAATCTCTTTGTGAGAATAAAAATCCAGAACTTTTCTTTTTCTCCTTTTCTGTGTTGAATTAGATCCTTTAGAAACTAACTTGATAATATTTGCTAGATTATTTTTTACTTAAGCTGTTTATATTTTCATTAATTTATATTCTAAGTCTGAAAAATATAGTTAATATGAAATAAATAATATTGGTAATGGACATTTAGATTCTTTATGATTCTCCCTAACCTTGTGATGGTGTTCCTTTGAATAATACATGTAGTGGAGCAGTTAAATTATTCCTTTCATGACAGTCGAACTTTTTCAACCTCTGTCCCTGTGTGCTATCCTCCCAACTTGCCCTTTCGTACTTTCTTTCAGGCCATGTTTTAAAAGTTTAAGGGATCTTTTAAAATTATGTAAGAGGGGCGCCTGAGTGGCTCATTCGGATGAACGTCTAACTCTTGATTTTGGCTCAGGTCATGATCTCAGGGTTGTGGGATCAAGCCCTTTGTCAGCCTCCTTGCAGAAAGAACTTAGAGTCTGCTTAAGATCCTCTCTCCCCTGCTTGCACACTCCCTCTAAAAAATAAAAAATAAATAAAAAATATACAAGAAAGCAATTCCAATTTTAGTTACTTCTGGTCAATTTTATGTGTGATAATATGAATTCATAATATAAGTTTTTAAATTTTCATTGCTTTATGACATTTTTATTTCATTCAAAAGTTATACATGGCTAAATTGTGTTTGTTCATTTTTTTTTAACAGACAAAAAATTTGGAGTGAAAGCTAGAATTAATGGAGCTCTGAATATAACTCTGAATTTGGTCAAACAGAATTTGCAGAATCATCGCTTGGTTTTGCCTTGTCTTCAGCTTTTACGAGTATATTCTGCCAATTGTAAGTATTTTAGGGCTGCTTTTAGTTGACTCAGTGTTGTCAAGTTACACAAAATGCAAATGGGGAAGTACCTAAGCTCCATAAATCTCTAAAAATTGGAGACAAGAAAAGAGACTATTTAATATGACTCTTGGTAACTCCTAACCCCACTGCCACAAAAGCGATAAGTGGTAGGAAGGTAAGTTGACAAAATCTTGAGAATTCTCATTTCCTGCCATTTGTAAAAGCCTGTAGTGAAGGGAATGAATAGACAGCCTGTGGGAAGATGTGGAAGAATAGGTTAGTGTTGGAAGCTGGAAAAACTGCTGAGCCTATTTGGATTTTCACAGATGAGAGAAAAACTGAGAGGGAAAGCATGTGGTAGCATAGTCTCCTAGAGCTAATTACCTTCAGCAATCAATAGGGAAGTAGTGGAACAGAAGAAAATAGTATAGGAGCCTCCGAGGAAGCTGCAGAGAAGAGGGATCACAGAGAGAAAGCTTCCTAGCATGCACACACACACACACTCTCACTAATATTAGGTCCCAAACCTAGGAGGTGTGAATTTTCTTTCTATTCCCTGACTATGGGATTGGAGTGGTTAACAAGACACCTTGAAATGGAAATTGTAGAGTACATGATATGATGTACATGGAGAGTACATGATTCTGCCATATCATGGCAGGATATCATTGTAGAATAATGATAGTCCAAGTGGTAGAGATATGTGTGTGTGTTTGTGTGTATGTCTAAAAATGTGTGTGTGTATGTATTTGTCGATAGCTATACTTTGACACTATGGCTAAAGGTGAGCTCATAGGAAAATAGCTCTGACCACTTAAAGAATTAACACTAGATAATTTAAAAAGAACAGAAGAAAATGAATGAATTGGATTTCTAACCAAAGAAGTTAAGAGAGCAATAAACACAAGGAAAGCAGAGGAAAAAGCAGGAAAAGTACAGGAAAAAGAACACCCAGTTAATGTAAAAAATAAATTGATTGGATTAAAATAATACTGTAATAGTGATGTAATGGGGCAGATGGTAGCTATTCTGATGGTGAACATACCAAATGTATAAACTTATCAAATGATTAAGTTGTATACCTGAAGCTAATGTAACATTGTGTATCAACTACACTCAAATAAAATTAAAAAAAATAAACAGGTAAACCACCAAATACCCCAATGAAGGAAAAAAGAAGACAGCGCAGAGGTAAAATTAGAAGGGATAATGGAAAAATAGATACAGAAGAAATTAAAATAATCATACAAAACTTGAGCTTATATTTTTGATGGCAACATATTGAATTTACCACTAAAAGGCTAGTAATGGTTTATCTATAATTTTTAAAAATCTATGTGTTCAGAGTTGAAAACATTAGGCACAATTTTCTGGATAGGTAATTGTGTATTCTGTGTGAAACTCTAAGTTGTTTCCTCTTTTTCCCCACCACAGTTGCTTTGGTTGAGGTCTCATCACCTCTCACGTAGACCACAGCCTGCTAACAAATGTCTTTCTTTCTTTTTTTTTTTTAATATGAAATTTATTGTCAAATTGGTTTCCATACAACACCTAATGCTCATCCCAACAGGTGCCCTCCTTAATACCCATCTCCCACCCCCCATCAACCCTCAGTTTATTCTCAGTTTTTAAGAGTCTGTTATGGTTTGGCTGCCTCCCTCTCTAACTTTTTTTTTTCCTTCCCCTCCCCCATGGTCTTCTGTTAAGTTTCTCAGGATCTACATGTCTTTCAAATCTGTCTTCCCCACAGTGCTGTGAGATCTGACCTGTATTTAAAATGCATGTCTGATTGGTTGTTCCTTTTGGGCAATTCCCTGTAGTTGAACAAATTAACAACTTCTGGGGCTCTTTATAGTTTGTTACCTTCTTTTCCTACCTCATCTTCCTACTGATATGCTTTTGTCTGGTATTATATCTTGCTTTTTTAAGTTTTTTAAATATTTATTTATTTTCTGGAGAGAGCATGTGCACACAGGGGAGAAGCAGAGAAAGAGGGAGAGAGAGAGAGAGAATTACAAACAGGCTCCACAGGGTCAGCATGGGGCCTGACTTGCGGCTCACACTCAGGAACCACAAGATCATGACCTGCTGAAGTTGAATGCTCAACCGACTGAGCCACCCAGTCATCCCCTGATATTGTTATCTTTTAATGTGTGACTTTATACCCGTGCTGTTCACGGACTCTGTTCTGTTTTCCGTGTTATCCCTGTCTCCAGAGACATTCCCTTACAGCAATTCCTGTCCTTGCTAGCTCCTATTCATTGGTAAAGACTGAGCCCAGGCATCAATTTCTACAGAGATACCTTCAGTTTCATTATGGATTTGGGGCTCCACACAGGTGTAACCTAAACAGCTTACAACTCTTAGTTATTTAGAAAATAATGTAGTAATGATTTATTGTTACTGTCATGCTCCTCTCTACTGTGTTCTCAGTTTTTGTCCTTGAATCTCCATGACCTGGTATTTAAGAGTTCTCTAAATTTATTGAAGAAACAAACAGAGCAATTTAAAACTATTTTTGTTTTGTAGTAACATTATGTTGTTTTATGTAACTTCTTTCATAATTTCCCTGTAAGGTAGTAAATAACTGCCTCCCCCTCTCCCCCCCCACCCCCAACCAAATCTTCCCTTCAAGTGATTGGCTAAGGTGGATGTCATGAGGCCTTGAGTTCATATCTGCTACAGAACTTGTGTATGTTTTTGGCCATGTATTACCAAGAATACACATTTCTATTTATTGAGGTTTTAACATCATTTTACATTCTTTCTTCTCCCTCCTAGCTGTGAATTCAGTATCCTTAGGGAAAAATGGAGTTGTGGAGCTGCTGTTTAAAATCATTGGACCATTTAGTAAGAAGAATTCGGGTCTCATGAAGTGAGTAAATGCTTTGAGTATAAATAGAGGTCTATCTTTTGTTATTCTGGGCCTCTTCTTGATCTGCACAGCCAGCAGGTTGAGTTATATTGTATCGAGGGTCCTTTCTTAGTTCTTAGTGATTTTATTATGATAAAGATTTTTAAAATATAAAGTTTAATTTTCAAAGGTGTATCAAAATTAGAAAGCTTTAAAGTCATTGAATATAGTGTTATGGAAATTTAGATGTAGAACATTCCTAGATACTAGAAGAGGAAAAACCTCATTGACAGAGTAGCATTCATTCAGAAACATTTATTGGATGCCTACTATATCCCCTACCCAGTTTTGCAGTCTTTCAGTGACTGCATCCTTCATTCTCACAATTATCTGAACATATTTTAAATTTATACATTTCTTTTTTGTCAAAATGTCTTTTCTTTTCTTTTTTCTTGAGATATGTATATTCCAAGATATGTATCTATTCATTTATAGGTCTTTCAGCCTCAAAAATGAAAGCAGCTTCCAGTTATTTGGTTATATTTAGTATTTTTTTCTTAAGCCATATTCTTTAAAAAAGTATTGAGTTTTTCAAAGATACCTGGGGTTTATATTATATTAGAATGATTATCTTGAATTAGGTTTATTAATCACTTACTTGATTCAACAGTTATCAACATTCTGCCATTTAATCCCCTTCTATACTTTTATTTATGCTGAGGTATTTTTAAGCAAATCCCAGATGCCATTCATATATTTCATTCATATATGCAATTCAAATATATATATTTCTATTAAAAAAATCCAAGATATTTTATCATTTTTCCCTAAATACTTCAGTATTTAACTCTACTAAATAGGGACTTAAAAAAATAACCAAAATACTAAAATCATACTCAACCAAATTATTCCTTAATATAACCTAAAATCTATTCTGTGTTCATTTTTCTCCTGTTGTCTCAAAATGCCCTTTTTTTAAATGGGTTTGTTTGAATCAGAATCCAAACAGGACACACACATTGTTCCTTGTCACATTTAGGAAATTTCCAAACCTACACAAAAATAGACTAGAGGAATTACAGACCTGTGCAGAACTAGAATAGAACCCTGTGATGTACCCACCACCCAGTTTCAGCAGTAACCAACATTGGCATTTTTATCTCAGCTTTCCCTTCCTTGTCCTTTCTCTTTCTTTCTTTCTTTCTTTCTTTCTTTCTTTCTTTCTTTCTTTCTTTCTTTCTTTCTTATTTTGAAGCAAATATTGGCTGTAACATTTGTTCTGTGAATTCTTTAGTATGATTATCATCAGACACAACTTTTTCCTTTTAGTGTTTCCAGAATATTGTTTCATTGTCCAGCAATATTAATAATCCCTTAATATCATCTGATACTTCCTTTATTTAAAAAATTTTTTTAGGGGCGCCTGGGTGGCGCAGTCGGTTAAGCGTCCGACTTCAGCCAGGTCACGATCTCACGGTCCGTGAGTTCGAGCCCCGCGTCGGGCTCTG